ACACACACACACACACACACACACACACACACACACACACACACACACACACACTCGTTAAAAACCCAGGCTTACCATCATACTGCTTAAAGCCATCTTCACCAACTTCAATCTGATCTTGGGGCTGAAACATACATGGATCAGATGTACCGGTCCAATCGACACTCTGCTATCTGGAACTGGTTCTGATACTGGTTTTACAGCCAGACTACTCAACTCCCTCCTCTTCCTCCACCTGACTGAGCTCTACACATGTAGCCTGAGAKGGGGGCTCACCTTGAAGAAGTCATCCTGGTGGACCACGCAGCAGTTGGGCAGGGTCTTGATCAGCCTGTTGGTCAGGGTGGTCTTTCCTCCGTTGGTAACTCTGCAGAAATTAATGAGGAAACAGATAATAAGGCTAATTAAACATTAAATTAAAGTCTGAATAACTTTGGATCACTGTTATAGTTTATAATCAGATTATTAACAGGGTGGGGCTGCTTCACTCTTACAACATTAGCTGTTAGCTTCTTTTCATCCATTTACACTAACATGTAAACATGTAAACAACAAGCAGAACTGTTAAATAATAAATATTTTATACAATAAAAACTTTCCAACACCCGGAAAGGAGGCAGTTCTTTCACAGATGGCATGAATGACTTCTCCACGTGCACCTCCCGAGGCCTCGAGCAGCTCCGGTTAGCCTGTTAGCCTAGCCTAGCCTAGCCTAGCCTAGCATCAGAGCGACAGCTGGAGCTTACCCGCCAATTCCGATGATGTACTTCATGGTTACGGGTCGTCGAAGAGTTCAAAACGTCACTAAAACCGGGTAAAGAGCGCGATGATCGGACGGGAAGAAAGCTTAGGAAGRGAAAGGAAACGTCAACTACTTAATTCCTCCATGATGCTCGATGTGAGAGAGTTAAAGAGCAGAGACACGAGCTGCAGCCCGGACACGGTCTTCAGCCGAGAGAGAGATCCGCTCTGCGGCGCAGCTTCCACACATACTGCTGCTGGAGCCCTGATTGGCTATTTAAACCCATCCGGCAGCAGGACGGCCAATCAGAGGCCAGCATGACCGCAGGCCCACAAACCACGCCCCTTCACTTTTTTATACAAAACTCTGTATTTTTCCCCAAATTACTAAAAATAAAACACATAAACAAACTAAAACATATCACGGTTTTATTGTTTACACTTAAATGTTATTGTTTTCTCAAAAAGAGCAGACAAACAAAAATAACAAGAGATTTTTTAATAAGGTTATTTTTATAAATGATTTATTCTTATTGTTGTTTGAAGATAAAAACTGCCTCAAATACTGACAGGAAACAAGTCTTTACTGATGTTTTATATAATCCACTGCAGCTGTGCTTTAATGCTTTATAATAGAATAGAATAGAATAAAATAGAATAGAATAGAATAGAATAGAATAGAATAGAATAGAATAGAATAG